TAGAAGCACCTTATTTTACAGATTAGGAAACTGAGGCCCATGGGGGTTAAATGACTTCCCCAAGATAAGATAAGGAGTGTCAGGGGTAGAATTTGAAAGCAGGCTCACCCTGATCTACAAAATGAGACCCAGAGTGGTTTAGCAGCCTCCCAGAAATGAAGAAAGCAGAACCAGGATACAATATATAAAACTACAAGAATTTGAATGAAACACAATACTAAGAGGCGGCTGAATTCAGACTAACCGCACTGACTAATCTTGGTTCCAGAAAACAGATGATGAAATACTCTTTCCTCCTCTCAGCAAAGAAGTGATGAATTATGGGAAGCAGAACGTTATGTACATTGTCAGATTCAGTTGTGTTCTCAGTTGGTTTCCTTTACTGTTTTACTTTGTAACAAGAGAAGATTCAATAAAGTGAGTGAGGTATATTGGGATATGGCTATGGTCTGAAAACAGCATCAATACAACTTGTTAAAAAAAACTTCCCCTTTAAAGGACCTCCATTCCTCTTTTTATAAAACGTAGGCTTTGGATTGGACTATCTCCAAGATCCTTTTTACCTCAAACATTCTATATTCTATGCTTTAAAGTCTCTTCTAACTCTGGCATTCTATAATTGGATAATAATCTCATTGTTCCTTATTGGAACCCTTGTTAAATTTTGTTTCTTCTCTGTAGTTCATCTGTAGCTCCCCTCTCATTTGTAAGACACAGATGACTAGAGTAGCCTTAATTCATTGAACCATCTCCCCAAAAAGAAATTAACAAAGCTGAAAGCAAAAAACCAAACCAAAACAAAACAAACAAAAAAACAAAAAACCTGTTGAACTGATCAATCAGAATAGAAGGGTTTTTTTGGGGGGCACCTAATAAAATAGATAAATCATTAACTAATTTGATTGAAAAAAGAGAGGAAAACCAAATTGCCAATATGAAAAATGAAAAAGGAATATTCAGAACAAAGATTAAAGGAAATTGTTAAAAATTCTTTTCCCAATAATATGACAGCAAAACTGAAAACCAATGAAGCAGATGAATAATTACAAAATTACAAAATACTAATGTGACCAAAAATGGAAAAATTAAATAGCTCAGTTTCATGTAAAAGAAATTGAACAAGCCATACATGAACTCCTGAAGGAGAAAAAAAGACTAGGACTAAGTGACCTCTATCAAACATTCAAGGAATAATTAATTCTAATATCATATGAATTGTTTGAAAACATAGGAAAATAAAGAATTCTTTATAAATAAAGTAAGAATAAGTAAGAATAAAAATTTTATTATACAAATATTAAAACATTATACATTATAAGTATGTTGTACTTGGAGCAGAAATGCAAGATTGGTTCAATATTAAGAAAACCATACACATAATATTCATATAGTAACCCAAAAAAGTCCCATGATTATATAATAATATGTGCAGAAAAAACCTTTGTTTAAATCAGCATCCATTTCTGTTTTTAAAAATCACAAAAAAAAACCACATAGGATCAAATAGACTTGTTCTCAATGTGGTAAATAGTATCTCCATAAAACTAAGATCTAGCGTTATATGTAATGGAGAAATATTAGAGTCTTTTACAATAAGATCAAAAGTGAAGTATGAATAACTATCACTGCTGTTATTGTTCAATGGAGTTCTAGAGCTTAGGGTGTTCGGGGAAGGCTAGTCCCTCTGGTGTGAGTACTGCCACGCCCTTTTTAGGGCTATTTTCCACCTTTAGTATCCACCTGAATCAACCAGCTCTCCCCTGCAGCATGCATGGAAGCCACTACCACCCACCCACCCGCCACTGGCAAACTGGTTAAGCAGATGGGCTAAACCAGATTGAGGTAACTGAGGAGTCTCAGACATATTGGTGAGTTGGGGGGATGTGTACTCCAAGCACATGAAGAATTCCCCCTACAGAATGGGTGGATGAGAATAATTTGTTCCAACAAACATGAAGCGGCTGAAGCAGGTGCTATGCAGCTCTTAGAGCTTGGTTGGACATCAACTGTGAAGCTGGCGTAGGTTTCACAATTGAAACTAATCTAGTCAGTTCATATGCCTACCAAAAAAAGTGAATAACAGACTTTTGACTATGCATTTGCCACTTGCAGGAAAGTGCCTCGCCACCATCATCAATGCATATGCTCCCACCATGTCAAACCTTGATGGAGTCACAGAAAAATAAAAGGTTTTAGTTTATTTTCAATTTATGAAATAAAAGAAACATTTCCATAATATAGTAGAATTTTAAAAAGATGATTGCACATGAAACTGAAAATCTATTATGTACAACTGGCTGTTCCTTTCAAATATATAATAAAGTTATCATATCATTTTCTTTTTTTCCTTCCTCCCCACCCTAGAAATGGCTATCATTAGAACAAATATGTGTGTGTGTGTGTATGTGTATATATATATATATATATATATATATATATATATATATATATATATATATATATATTAGGATTATTCTATATTTATTTCTACTATCAGTTTTTTCTCTGGATGCAGATAGCGTCTTCCTTCATAGGTTCTATGTTGTTAATCTGGGTATTTATAATGGTCAAAATTACTTAGTCACTCAAAGTTGTTCTTAAAACAATATTGCTATTACCATATACAACTATCTCTCAGTTCTCCTTGTTTTGCTCTTCATTATTTTATGCAAGTCTATCTTAAAATCAATTAGCTCATCGTTTCTTGTAGCACAGTAGTATTCCATGATGGTCACGTACCACAATTTGTTCAGCCATTTCCCAATTAATGGGCATCCCTGCATCCCCAGCAAAATAACATTGTCTATGTTGTGTTGTAAGATCTTATTTGTTTTGTTAAACATTTCCTAATTACATTTTAATCTAGGTCAACCAGTGTCATTAAGTTTGATACCTCTGCTCTAGATAATTTAAGTAATAGGAACAGATTTTTTACAGCCAAGCCATGAAAAAAGTTCAAGCAAAGAAAGAAGTTCAAGGGAATAATTGGCTGGTCTGTGGAGCTGTTTTTCAAGGAAAATGGGATAGCTAGTTTTTGGCTTGAAAAAAATATCATTTGTCTATCAGATAAATAGAAATTTCTCCAAATGTGGATTCAGGTGAACTTTATTTGCATTTAATTTCTGTTTCTGATTCAGTGACAACCTTCAAGACGCATCTGTCAGACTGTATAGTGTCCTGTCTTGGCTGATGTCATATCATACCCATGTGGGCATGTTGGATAACAGATACTTGAGAATTTGTGTTTTTCTTTTAGTCGGATACCTTTGACACCATGAAGAGACCTAATATAAATATTTTAGAACATAGAGGTTCTTTTCCTTTTTCTCTAATCATCTTTGGAAATAGACCTAGTGATATTGCTGGGTCCAAGTGTGTAGACAGTTTAATAACTCATTGGGCATAATTCCAGATAGCTCTCCAAAATATTTGGATCAGTTCACAGGTCCACCAACAGTGAATTACTGTACCAATTTTTCTACATCCCCTCCAACACTTGTCAGTTTCTCTTTCTATCATTTTAGCCAATCTAAAAAGTGTAAAATTGTATCTCTAAGTTGTTTTAGTTTGCATTTCTCTAATCAATAGTGATTTAGAACGTTTTTATATGACTATAAACCATTTTGATTTTTTCATTGGAAAATTGCTTATCCATTTCCTTTGTTCATTTATCAATTGGGGAATGACTTGTATTCTTATAGATTTAACAAAGTTCCTTATATGTCTGAGACATAAAACTTTTATGTGAGAAATTGTCTATTAAAAAATTTCCCCAATTTTCTGCTTCCTTTTTATCTTGGCTACATTTGTTTCATTTGTACAAAATCTTTTTAATTTAATGTAATCAAAATCATTCATTTTATATGTCACATTGTTCTCTGTCTTTTATTTATTCATAAATTATTCACCTATCCATAAGTTCAGTAGGTAATGTATTCCATGTTTTTTTAAATTTTCTCATAATATCTCTCTTTATATCTAGGTCATGTATTCATTTTGGCCTTATCTTGCTAAGTGGTATAAGATATTGATCTGCCAATTTCTGCTAGGCTGCTTTCCAGTTGGCTCAACAATTTTTACCAAATAATGAATTTTTATCCCCAAAACTTAAGTTTTTATACTTGCCAAATATAAGGTTACTATATTCATATGCTGGTGTAAATTGTATACCTACTCTGTTCCACTGATCTACCTTTCTATTTCTTAGTCAGTACCAGATAGTGTTGTTAATTACTACCTTACGATATAGTTTAAGATCTGGTACTTCTAAACCTCCTAAAATAACTCTAGACGGTATAAAATACCTGGGAATATCCCTGCCAAAACACACCCAGGAACTATATGAACAACATTATAAAAACTTTTTATACAAATAAAATCAGATTTAAGTAATTGGAGAAATATTAATTGTTCATGGGTGGGCAGGAGCAATACAATAAAAATGACATTTTTATCTAAACTAATTTATATATTCAATGCAATCCCAATTAGATTGCCCAAAATTATTTTATTGAATTAGAAAAAAATCATAACAAAAGTCATTTAGAAGAAGAAAAAGTCAAGAATATCAAAAAAGCTAATAAAAAATATAAAAGAAGGAGGTTTAGCAAAGAAAAATTTTATGAAGACCTGGATACCTTCATCGTCAATGTGTCAAAAGAGGACAAGCTTATAATTCTGGATGACTTTAACAGGAGTAGGCACAGACCATCAGACATGGCAGGGACTCCTTGGAAGAAATGGAGTTGGAGGGGGCAGCTAGGTGGTGCAGTGGATAGAGCACAGCCCACTTACTAGCTGTGTGACCCTGGGCAAGTCACTTAACCCCAATTGCCTCACCAAAAAAACAAAAACAACAACAACAACAAAAAGGAGTGGAGTTGGAAATAGCAATGGTAGTAGTCACTTACTATACTGATGACTTGTACATCTCATGACCTTCTCTTAACTAACACTATTTTCCATTTACCTAAATGTAATAAAACTTCATCAATGCACCCTTGAAGCAAACATTGGCATTTATTGTAATGTTATTATATGGAAAAGAGACAGACTGGATATAAGTGCATGTTATTGTAAGGAAAAGAGACAGACTGGATATAAGTAAAGAAGATGATGTGTGGCAGAGTGCTGGACCAATCATAGACCTCTCTTCTACAAGCTAAACATTCACATTCAACAAAAGTAGCATCCCCAAGGCAAGATGACTACCAGAAGACAATGTTAACAGATTAGGGCACTTCTCTGAGTGTAAACAGTTTGTTGCTAAGATGAAGGGAAAGCTGAGCCAACATATGGCTGCCAACAGTGGAGCAGAAAAACAGTGGGCAGATCTCAGAGATTTGGCGTACAGCACTGCAATTACTCATCTGGGCCAGAACACTCACAAACATCAAGACTGGTTTGATGAAAATGATGGGGAAATTCAGAAGCTGCTAAATGAAAATCAAAAACTCCACAGGGTTTACCAGTAAGATAGTTCATCCATCTCTAAGAAGGCCAAAAGTATGTTTGACTATACAATTATCTTACAGAAAACTCACACAAGGCAAGTTCTCACATCGAGGTCAGAAGAAGTGACACAAGGATACTCTTACAGTCTCTCAGAAGAACTTTGGAATTGATTGTGAGATGCAGGAGACCTCGGCATAGGACTGCCCAGCATGGTGTGCCTGCAACAAAGAAAGTGCTGTATATTCTATGAGCAAAGCAGAATTGCAGTAGCTCAAAAGAAACCTGAGATATGCAGATTTGGAAACATCTTCACTCCAAATGTTCATAAAGACTATTTGTGCCCAACCTGTGGCAGAACCTTCTGAGCTTGTATTGGTCTGATCAGCCACAGTCAGACATACTGTACCTTGACCCCAACATAATGGTTTCATTTTAGTTCTCTTTGAGAACAAAGGACAACAACCACTATTTAATACAGTTCTAAAAATTCTAGCTATAGCAATAAGACGAGAAAAGGGAATTAAGGGAATTAATGTAAGAGAGGAAGGGGAAGGAAATAAGCATTTATATAATATCTGCTAAGCATCTTACAAATATTATGTCTCTTGGTCCTCACAACATCTCTGCAAGGTTTTACAGTTGAGAACAAACAGTTGAAACAAACAGACTAAGTGACTTGTCCAAAGTCACACAGCTAGTAGATATCTGATATCAGAGTTGAACTCAGGTTTTCCTAATTCCAGGCCTGCCACTGTGCCACCTGGCAGCCTAGAACATAAGCAAAGAGAAACAAAATGATCAGTTTTTGCAGATGTCATTATGGTCTTCTTAAAAAATCTTAAATTCAACTAAAAAATTAATTGAAGCAATAGCAAAGCAACCATATAAATCATCATCCTTTCAGTTTTAAGCTAGGCTTAAATATTTTTATTTTTAAATAGCTTTATTTAAACTTTAACAGCTTTAAACTGAACTAAGACTTTGGGGATACTCTGTATTCCCAATAAAACCATCAGGAGAGACTGGAAGAGAAAATCCATGTAAAACAACTGCAAAAGATGTAAAATATTTGGGGGGGTCTACCTACCAAATCACACAGGAACTTTATGAAAAAAAGCTACAAATAATTCTTTACAGAAATAAAAACAGAGATAAATAATTGGAGATAGATCAATTACTCACGGCTGGTGTCATGTGAACATAATTTAAAATGATGATATTGTTGAAACTAATTTACTTAGTGTCATACCAATTATACTACCAATTACTTTATAGTTAGAAAAAAAATCATAACAAAATTCATCTGGAGGAAGAAAACATCAAAAATTTCAAGGGAAATAATGAAAAAAGTGGAAAGGAAAAGGACCTAGCAGAACCAGATCTTTAACTGTACTACAAAGCAGTAATCATCTCAACTTTTTAGTACTGGTTAAAAAATAGAAAAGTTGACCAGTGATACAGATTAGGAATGTGACATATAGAAACAAATGACTTTCTAGCTTTCCTAGCAGTTTTTAATCTAATATTGCATTCTTGCTCTAGTACTTGGGGGTCCTTGGGTTTATTCAACACGGTGCTACTAATGAGTTCAAAGATATAAACAAGTAGTATTAAAGGGAAAGAAAGAAAGCTATCGATAGCCACATAAAAAAGCTCCAGATCACTAATAATAAGAGAAATAGAACATTAAAACAACCCTGAGGTGCTACTTCATAAAAAGTAGATTGACAAAGATGATTATTAAAAAGTAAAATTGCAATTGTTGGAGGGATTTGGGAGGCCAGAACACTGATGCACTGTTGATATAACTGTGAATTTTATCCTCTGTCCTGGAAGGCAATTTGGAAATCAAAAAGTCACAAAATTGTGCATAAACCTCTACCCAGCAATACCACTATGAGGCATATAGATAGATAGATAGATAGATAGATAGATAGATAGATAGATAGATAGATAGATAGATAGATAGATATAGACGTGTATACACAGAGAGAGAGAGATCCCAAAGAAATCAGAGAGAAAGGATTTTTGTGTACAAAAATATTCATAATACCACTTTTTATTATTGCAAAGGACTACAAACTAAGAGGGTGTTCAATTGAGGAAGGGTTGAACAAATTATTGCATATAAATAAATGGAATATTATTATGCCACAAAAAATGATAAAAAGGAGAAATTTAGCAAAACTTTGAAAGACTTATCAACAAATTCAAACTTTGAAAGAGGGAGTAGAATGAAGAGAGAAATGTACTACAATGACTATAGCTATATGGTACAGTGGATAGAGTGCTAGGCTTGGAGTCAGGAAGGCCTGAGTTTAAATCCTGCCTCAGATACTTACTAGCTGTAACCCTGATCAAGTTGCTTGACCCCTGTTTGCCTCAGTTTCCTCATCTGTAAAATGGAGTTAATAATAGCACCTACCTCTCAAGGTTGTAGTGAGGATCAAATGAGATAATTTTAAAGCACTGATCACAGTGCCTAGCATATAAGTAAGCATGATCTAAATGTTAGCTATCATCATCATGATCATTATTATCATAACACTGTAAAACAAAACTATTCTGAAAGACTTGAGAGCTACAGTAAAGATCAGCCTTGACTCCAGTGCAGAATGAGACATACATGTTCAGATGTGGCCAATATGTGCATTTGTTTTGCTTCACTGTGCTTGTTTGTTACAAGGGAGATTTTTTTTAATTGGAGAAGAGATTGAGGAAAGAGAAGTTAGTGATAGTGACTACATTTTCTTTAAAAGAAAGATAAAAGTGTCTTTGAAGCATTTTTTTAATGTACAGAAGAAAATTGAGAGGGAGACACAGATAAACAGGACAGCTTTGAAATTAAAGGTCTTCAATTTCTTCTATACCTAAAAATATAAGCTGTACATAATAGAGATTTTTGGTTTCACATATAATCCTCTTTTTCTGTTCTTTGTATATGGACAGCTCAAGTTTCTTGATATTTGTCAAATTCAATAATAAATAAATAAATACACACACACACAAATGTATATGTATGTATGTATATATGTATATATGTGTGTATATATAATCCTCCCAGCACAGATCTCCAGTTATGCTCACTTCCTAAGTTTTCTTTCATAATTTACTTAAGTGCAGAGTAAGGAGGAGGCCGTGTATCAGCATAGGTGTACAAAAGGGGGGGGGGGGGAATCTCATCTATATAGTGAAACTAGTATGCAATTTCCACCAAGAGGATTTCACAGATCCTGAAAGATAAGGCAGAAAGTCACCAAAGCAAAGAGCTTCTTTCACAACATTGCCAATGGCTGGTTATGGAGCTCAAGACTGCTAGGTGCAATAAAGCAGTCACTGCTTGAAAAGCCTGAATTCTCAATGAGATTCATTCAAGGAAGCATTTTCCCATGTGATGAGAACATGCCTAAGTTGCTTGGTACTTTTAAGGGGTGGACTCTACAAAAAAACCTGGGCAGGAAGACAAAAGAAGATCTGTAGGCCAGCTCTCCTAGCTAAGGGAGGTACCAGACCAAAAGCTATCCCTGTCTAGAAATAGCCAAACCAGGCAAGTGAAAAGACAGCTATAAAATCTCTGATCCAGATTTTCTCTGATCCACTCCCTTCATAATTCAAATAAAAATGTTAGAGGTAGAAAGGCAGATGGAGCATAAAAAGTAGATGAGGGGAAGAAGGGGAGCAGATTGAGCTAAGGATAGGAATGGATGTTAGAATATACAACATAGAATGCCAAGGCTATCAAGTATTTTTAAAAACAGATTATCAAAGCTAGAATGGACCTTAGAACCAAGAATGTTAGAATTAGATGGGAACTTAGAACACAAGATGAGATCTTAGAAGTTAGAATATAGAATGTCAGAGCCAGAAGGGACCAGGCTTAGAACATAAAATGTTAGAAATGGAAAGGACCTTAGAACATAAAATGTCAGAGATGAAAGGATTATTGTTGTTAAAGTTTAGAAAGAGACCACCTGATGCAATCCCTTTGTTCTACAGATGAGGAAGTTGAAGCCTGGAGTGGGAAAACAATGCCCTCATTCTTTTCTGCCAAGCGTTGTCCTTTAAAGCAAGGTAATCTTCCAATAAAATGTAAACTCTCCTTGGAGGTATCAAGCATCAATCTAACAATCAATTTGTTTATTGTTTAGTCATTTTCAGTAGCATCCCACTCTTTATTACCTCTTTTGGAGTTTTCTTGGAAATGGAGTGGTTTGCCATTTTCTTCTCCAATTTCATTTTACACATGAGGAAACTGAAACAAACAAGGTTCAGTGACTTGCCTAGGGTCACACAGCTAGTGGTGGAGGCTGACTTTGAACTCAGGTCTTCCTGACTCCAGGCCCTGTATTCTATCCACTGTGTCAGCTAGCTACCCCTAACAATCAATTACCAAGCATTTATTAAGCACTTGATTCCAGGCACGATGCTAGGGACTAAGGGAGTTACAGAATTCATATGTCCCTATCCTCATGGAATCTATAGTCTAGCAGGGTATTATGACGCACACACAGATAGAAACATATATAGATTGAATACAATACACAGATGTTGTTCATTCGTATCCAACTCTTGGTTTGCCATTTCCTTCTCCAGCTCATTTTACAGATGAGAAAACTGAGGCAAACAAGGTAAAGTGACTTGCCTAGGGTCACACAGCTAGTATCTGAGACTAGATTTGAACTCAGGTCTTCCTGACTAGTCCTGAAGCACTCTCCACTGTGCCACCTAGCTACCCTCATACACAGATAGTACACAGTAAAACAGGTTGGATTTATCAGAAAGGTACAAAGTGCTATCTGAGATCTTAGGGAAAAGCTAATTACTCCCCTGGTAGTAAGGAAAGATTTTTGTGCTGTGCCAAAAAGGTTAGAGAGTATGGGAAAAGGTGTGAATGGTGTTAGCCAGAGATGTGAATGGTGTTAGCCAGAGACGGGGATCTGGGGAAGATGAGAATGTCAGTGTGGAAAGGGGTGCTCAAAGAGATGTGGGTATTACTGGCCTACTTCAAGTTTTGCCCAGAGCTATCCCTGGGCACGTGATTCACTCTGGAATGCTGGGGGAAACTCTTCCCTTCTGCTATTGGGAAAGTGACCAGGAAGGCAGTTATCCCACAGGAAGTGCTCCATAAATCACAGCATCTATTGTGCCAACAGGGGCTTCCCTCAGGTTGTCTCCCAAGGAGTGGTGATGTATATTTGAACACCTGCCACTGTTAGTGCCCCAGATTCTAGTAGGCCTTCCCCACAGGAATTTGGGAGAGTAAAATAAAAAATACCACCAGTAAGACTGGTCACAGCATACCTGCAACCCCTGGAGAAGAGGAAGAAGACCTTAGAGGCCATTATACCTTCATTTTACAGATTAGGAAACTGAGGGCTAGGCAGGTTAAGTAACTTGTCTAAGATCATCTTGGTAGTAAATATTAGAGGTAGGATTTGAACCCAGGTCCTATGACTACAGCACTCTTTCCATCATATCACTTTGTCTAAAAACTGTAGTAGACTCCACTCTAGAAGGCTCATCTTGATCATCCCCTCTCCTCCAGACAGACAAGGCTGTACCCACACCATTCTAAAGTGGAGGAGCTTCCCAAAGTAAGGCTGATCAGGCTTGAGTCTGAGTCTCTCAGAGGAGGCTAGATCCTTTGTGTGACCTGAAGCTGATCATTTCCCCTCTCTGGGTCTTAGTTTCCTCATCTGTATAATCATAATTTGATTGGGTAATCTATGAATGACCC